CTTCTGTTGGCTGATATGTTGCAGGGATGGCGTTGAGTACATACTCTATACGTTCAACAAATTTCTCAAGATCACGCGGGGCAAAACCGTCCAACTGCAAATCAAGCAAAGCCTGCTGAGTGAGGTTGCTACCACGATTCAAATCAAGACGAAAATGCTGAGACAACATGAACAGGAAAGAACGACCTCTTGGGGCTCGCATGGCTTGTTGACAGGATTCTGCGTATGTTTGAAACCTCATACCGAGTTCACCCTTCAAGTGACGACTGTCCATCAAGAGGGATCCAAGGTGAGCGTCCAAACGCGGCAAGAGACCACTGTCGTGAAAGTCCGATGCGTCTTTACCTTCAGTGAACGCTTGCATGACCCAAGCTAAGATGAAATCCATACCTGTTTGGTCAATCGAAGCAATCCTTGTCAAAAAGGTGTTTTTCCATGCTCTAAATTCTGATGCTGTTGTTGGGAGAGTTTCTATCTTGATGAGTGACAGATCCTTTGATCTATATACGTCTTTCTCAACCATGAAACCCAATGGACCGGAACCAACTCCTACCGACATGTTCTGCTGGTCAAGACCCTCAAACTGTGGAGGAAGAGGGCTTCCACCTCCGCCGTTGCCGCCATGAGGACTGTCGCTCGACGATGATGACGACGGGTCACTGGAAGGTGGTCCTGGCCGGGGCGCAATGGCAGATGGAGTGGTTGCTATGGAATAGGTTTTCACAGGCAATGGAGGAACATTAACCGGATGCGACGGGTCAGGCACCTTCCAAGACGCAAAGCTGGGCTCTTGCGATGGTGGGTACCCGGCACATGCAGACTGCATGCTGGGACTCTCTGCAACTCCCTGGGATCCCGGTGTGAGTGGTGTGACAGTACCCCTCTTTGACTTCTTACCCTTTGGTGGGGACATGTAACCCTTCATGACGCCTACTTCATCTCTTAGAGAAGTTACGATGCTCATCAGCTCCTGCATATGGACCGCGCCATTTTGGTCTTGGGTTTGAACAGTGGGGGGAACTGATGAGTGGCGAAGAAGGGTGATTTCATTCTGTAACATGGCCACCTGGTTCATCAAAGCTTGGTGTTCCTGTCTTTGGGATTCCAAGAGTCGAGATTGAGATTCAATCAAACCAGTCAACTCCTGATTGCGTGCCTCGGACACCTGCAACCTTTGTTGGGATTCATTCATGGCTTGTTGAGCATCATGGAATGCCTGCTGAGCAACATCTTGAACCTGTGCAAGTTCCTTTTGGTGATTGGCTTGCAATTCACTCACTAGGGCATTTGCTCTGTGTTCAATACCTTGGGAATGTACCTGAGCTTCATGTTGAATGCTTTCAACCTGACTACGGGCAGCGCTAAGGGCAGCGTGAGCTTCCGACACGATATGAGCTTCACGGGCAATGACTGTATTAGGGTCTACACCAACATTCACCTGTACTGACCTTTGGTCCTGAAGCTGCACAAATGATCTTTGATCCTGGTTGTGCACAGTGTGTTGAATGGACCTTTCATCATGCATGTGAAGTTCACTGGATTGGGCTCGTGTCAACGCGATGGACCCCGGACCCCGATGCGATGGCGGACCTGAAGGGGGGCCGAGACGATGACTTCCCGCTGCTACTTCGTGATGAGCTATCGGCACCATGTTTGGTATTGGACTTCCTCACCTGCAAGACACGGGACCTAACTGGAACCTGCTGCTCTGGCGATGTAGTCGAAACCTGCAATGAAGATTCTTCTGAAGGCTCTTCAACACCCATGGTTATCTCTTTGATGGTTGGCATGTTGCCTTTGGCACAGCCGAACTATTTCAAGTCAAAGGTGGAACTCACAAGCAAAATGCCTATCACCCTCTAATGGATGGGTTCACGACCAACTGACTCGGTCTTGTTTTTACACTTTGCACTTGGATCGGATTCGAATACACAGCAGTGTCGCCCTTTGGCGAAGCCCCTGCTGATCTGTGCGAAGGTCAATTTAGCTTATTCACTAAATGGATGCAGTTTCAAGCGAATGGACTCTAACACTTAAAGCGTGAATCACAAACCTTGATATGCCTCTAGTTTGATGTAGTTTATATATCTGGCCCACAGATCGGCCTAGGCCACAGTCACTGTCTCCGCAGCGATTCGCTCGACAGCTTCTGAGAGATTCCTAAACACTTTCACGCCAGGACACTGCTCTTTGCCCGGGTGCTTGATCTGGCAGGCTCCGAAGTGCTCCGGCTTTGCGTCGTGGAACTCTGAGCAGATCGCGGCCTTGTCGTCAATGTGGATGAGCGACCTATCAGCCTTTGGCGGACAAAGCAACCGCAAGCAATCCAACTTGCCAGCAAACCTCGTTCCGTCACCCTTCTGGCAAATGACAATCTGGTCAACGGGAAGTGTACTGCAACTCTCAACAACGTGGCGTTTGCGCCAATCTGTGTGCACGTAGCTTGTGACAATGACAGCAAGTCCCAAGTCCTTCAGCCTCTGCACTGCTTGGCGGCACTGACTCGGAATTCCGTGTTCGCCCTCGACTGCAACGACACGATACTTGTTCGAGAACCGATGCACGTCAAGAACGTTGTGGAAGTCGATCGAGATCACTGACCGAGGACCAAAATTCAGCTCACGCTGAGGAAAGATCTGCTGCCCTTGAGAATCAAAGACTGAACAATTCCTGTGCCGAAGCGCGTTCAAATCAAGAAGGGGCTGTCGCTCCGGGACTGCCTTTGGAACCGACTCGATCAAACACGGCGGCCTCGCCTTTGATGCTATCTTGCTTTCTGAAGCTACTGCACCTGCCGACTTCGATGTGGTTTCTGGAGCTCCTGACCCTTTTGAAGTTGTCTTCAAGACCACCTTTGCCTTCGGTGGCGTTTTAGGAGCGATGATTTCTGCTTTCGGTGGGGTTTTCGGAACACTGGGAGGAACAGCACTGATTGAAGATGCACTCAACAGTCGCGAAAAACTCGGCACACCACCTGTCGCCTTTGGCAACACAGCGAATGAAGAGCTCGAATACTCGCTGACAACCGAAGGAGCACGCGGAACAGCGGGCTCACGCCTCCAAGGTGGCACCTCACTCCTCCAAGGCGGCACTACAGACGGCCGAGAACCACCCTGCTCCTCCTCTTCTTCAATCTCCTCAATTTCCTCCTCAATCTCCGCGTCTGCGGGCGACCGGACAGAATCAGCAAACTCAGATTCCAGCTCCTCGTCCGCAGCCGATGGGATGATCGGATCCCCTCTCCTAGGCAGCTGATTATTCTTCACAGCAGCGTGAACCCCCCACGCCTGATCCCGCCGACGAACGTAAGCAGCCGAGTTGTCAGACGCAATGACAGCGAACTCAAGCAGCTGCAAATAATGCTCGACGATTGTGAGGATCAAGGACTTCCGACGCCGCTGAAAGACCTTACCACCCCGACGCTCTGCACAGAGCCGCAAATACTGCTCTGTCTCCCGATTCAAGCGCTCACCCAAACTCTGTACCAACCGCGGGGACCTTGAACGCCGCCGAAAGTCCGAAGGGCTTGAACGCATGAACGCAGTGAAACTGTGCAGACCGCGGTGAAACCACAAACGCTTGCGGTGAAACTAGTGCGTAGCTTGGACCGAAGCGATTGTGTCACACGTTTGACGAACCTCAGTGCTTGGGATCTCACTCGAGACTTCCTAAGGAATGTTCAGGAGATCTGGCAAAATGCAAACCAGGCACAACTCTAGAGTACGATGATTCTTTCTCAATATGGAGGTTAGTTTACGATGCGGTGTTGCCACAAGGCAAAACCCCCGCTGCAAAGAACAGTCCTGCTTCTCGGACGCACTCGGCAACGGAAAAGGGAGCAGCTCACCTGACGCGAAATGCACTCTGATGGGCTGAGATCACACTCAAGATGTCTAGACAAGGGTCCTAGCTAGCAACTCGCTCTGGATCACAAGTTGACACTCGAGTGGCGGTGGTGCAAACACTAGGATGGCTCAGGTCCTAATGCAAGCAAATATGGAAGGTCTCTGTGAGACCTGGCTTTGAGGCTGTTAACCAGTTAAACTGAAGGACACAGGCAATCCTACAGTTTAATGATATGCAACGCGATGTATGGCTTCCCAAGCCCCGACCCAGGCACAGCGCGCCTTTTCCGCAGGACTTGAGCCAAAATCAAGGCGACATCAAAATGATGTGTGGCGACCACCAGGGAGGATTGTTTCATGTGTGTATTTTCAACTGATATAATCAATTTTGTTCGATCGATTGACTGGTAGCTGTATACGAGCGCTAGCTATATAGGTATCATGTTCACCTGTCTAGGGATTCATAGTGACTCATGTCTTCTTGGGCCGGCTAGCTAGCTAGTTAGAGACTTCTTCAGACTTTCCTGTTGGGAGGCACAGCAAAAGATTCGAAGTGTTCTGAAGGCACACGAGGAAGGGACTGATGATCCTGCACATGAGGAGCTCGAGGAGTGCGAGCCTCCGGTGAAGAGAGGTCGGGGAAAAGGCAAAGGGAGAGGCAAAGGGCGAGGGAAAGGGTGCCAAAAGACTGACCCACAGTCTACCGAACCCAAAAAGAAAAGTGAACCCCAACCAGAACAGGTTCCGACCAAAAAGAGGAAGACACAGACACCACGAACTGATCAGGAAGATCATGAGAAAACAGCGGGGAGTTCTGATGCGCATGTGGTCGACCCACCTCAGCCCAAGAGGGCCAGGGCCAAGGCCAAGGCTAATCCAGCAGTACCATCCAAGTCAGCCGACAAGACTGTTGACACAGCATCAGCTGGGCCCCCAGTATTGCCCGCACTTCTTTTAACAAATTCAGGTCAAAGTATATATATATAGCCTTTCATATACAGACAGCCAACTGAACTATTGACCACGTGCACTTCTCCCTATTGAAAGCGTTTAAACGTGCAAAGTATAAATTGAAACTTCTCATACCCATGCATTGTCAAATCTGTCCTCGGTCAAACTCGCGATCGGTCAAGGTGGTGACGCAGCTTCGTGAACTCAAAGCTCGATGCCTGGCAATCCCGACCGATTTGCCAAGCACTACGAAGTGCTTGCCTGAGCTGCAATCTGGAGTTACCTCAATATTTATGTTGATGACTACGTGTTTTGATGAACCCACTCAACCCATGCTGTGACAAGTTCGATCTTTAAAAGTAATCTCATGGACGAACATGCAAACCTCAGGTCCTTTACAGTTCAACCACCGGAAGATGCTCCTCAAGGCAGCAAGTCTATTGGGGTGATCCTTTCTGCACCCAGGCCAGTGTCTCAATGCTCCAGAAGGAAAACAACATGTACACCTCATCCAACTGGCTAGCATTAATCTTGTATACATGAGGTCGGCCAATGGGACCTTCTATGTGAACCATGTGCCAGTCGGCTATGAGGGCAAGGTACGTGAGAAAGAGCTTTCAATCAATCGAAAGGGTGGGTGCTCTATCAGCATGAAAACATTTGGTATGAAGAAGGGGTGGCGCGGCCAAACAACAACATGCACTTGCTTGGAATATATTTGTTAGAATGTATCACCAGGATCCCTGTACTATCCAATTCGCCCCGCAAATCTTAGGTGGGAAGTGGCTTGTGAGTTGGCTGGGTGGTACTAGCTGGACCTGAACCGCCTGATCATCTGTTTTGAGTCCGGCAGCGGCCTGAAAGCCAAATGATGTCTAGATCTTGAAATCTGCCACCTGTGCACTCGTTGTTTGTTTCTCCAATTGAATATACGAAGCAAAATTTGGTTGCTGGCAGGCTACGCAGCTGCTAGGGGTTTCAATCAGTCTTCAACTATATATCGGAAATGCCGATATCGAGCGAGGGTTAGCAGTACTGGTACCTTAAGCAGTTCTGGTGCTGGTGCTGCTGTGGGGTTCCTGACACATTTAGTGCTGGCACGCTAAACTACTACTATAGAACTAGCTCGGAGACTCGACAGGAATTCGTAGCTAGTGTACATGCTCAATTTGTCATGCGTTCTGGCCATGTGTCTATATAGCTAGCTAGCTAGCTAGCTATAGGGTTAAGGCAGACCACAGGCCTTGAAATAGATCTGAGTCTGCTTTTGGAGCGAACCGGCCACTGCCTCAGACATCGACGCCAGAGGCCAAACGAGCGAGCCCGAGTCTTCTTCTTTCGAGTTTTGAGATCGATGTCTCTGGGAAGTTTTGAAGTTGCATTCGAATTCCAACTTCGAGTATATGCATGCATGAATATATATATATATATGTATATGATCAAGGCTGTTTTGCAATCTCAAGGGCGCTAATTGTTCCAAGAATTGCCTGATTTATACTATGCCCCAAGCCCCGCACCCGTTGTCTTTGTCTGGCCGTTCAGCGGCCTTGCTGGCATTTTTGGGAGCCCCTTTGATCTTGCCAGCCACTCAGAACCAAGAACAAATTCATATGTAAAGGCATGTCTGGAATTTGACAACTGTATGAGCCTACAAGGTTTCATCTTTGTGGCTACGTTTGTCAGCAAACATCTCCAAGCTCTTCCCTGACAAGACGGGCCATGAGCCAAGATCTATTATATAAAGCTAGCGGTTTCCATGATCGTGCATGTGAGTATATAAAATACAGCTAGCGCTATTATATACTCACTGCTCAGAACCTGGAGCTGTTCGAAGTCTTCAGCGGGGAATCCCGCATCTACGCTGAGGGCCGCCGTGGGCTCAGTGCACTTCCGAGCAGTTCCCCAATCGACTATTTCTGAGATCCCAGCAGTGTTGGAGTTCTCATGCATATGGCTCCCTGCAACAACCTCAAGCGCTGCTGCAGGAAAGCGTGGTCTTCGCTCGTTTGTTACTCAGCGCGCTTGTTTGCATGCAATACTAGCTCTAGACCTACAGGAGATGTCCTAGCGGGAACCGTCAATGACATGATACCAAGATATGTCACCAAACACCGTATAAGGTATCGACCTTTAAAGGCTTTAAGAGGAGGTGTCCGGTGTTTGGTTGTTTGCAACCCCAAAACCACAAAATGCGGACACCTTCAAAAGTGCAGTTGTTGAAACCTTTTGGCCTTGAGCTCTGTTGCAGTAAGCCACACTTCAGGGACTACTTCGACTACGAGAGCCACCGTGGTGGGGCAAACGATATGCTCAAAGTGCGCGGATACTCGATCATCGATCTTTTAGCTGGTCAATCAAGAGACATGGACATGACCCACGTGCACTGCAAGGGTATCCATTCGCCGAGGTCGGGATTCCTCTACGCTCTCAAACAAGTTCTCCGGCTGAAGCCGGGCTCTCTTTTGTGGGGAGGTGTTCCCTGCAGCCTCCTGGTGTGGGTAAGCAGGAGTTCAAGCAAACGACTGTTGCCAGGGTACGATGTGATGGGGGATCCATTTTCAAAACCAACACTACAGTCGAATACTCTCCTCTCCAGATTTGCATTGCTGGTCTTGCTGTGCATGAGCCGTGAAGTCTTTTGGGCGATCGAACAGCCCCAGAGCTTGCTACTGAAAGACACGCCCTACTACGACTACTTCTTTCTTCTTCCGCAGCTGAAGATCGTTTTCACTCGGATGTCAGAACCTTAATCTTGCTGCAGTGAAATAGTTCGAACTTATAAAATACCTTTGTGTGCCTTGCTGTGCAACCTTCGCTCTTGTTTTGGCGGCGTTGCGCACCTGGTTGGTTTCACTCCCTTTTGGAGTCTCTGTGGCCTCGCTGGCCCTTGCCCGGCCCGGGTGGAGGGGTGGGTCACACCCTTAGGCGCTGGGCCAAAAACCTTCGAGCACAGCCACTCCCCAAAGGTATCACTTACTTCTAAGTTCCAACCTTTGTGTGCCTTGCTGTGCAACCTTCGCTCTTGTTTTGGCGGCGTTGCACACCTGGTTGGTTTCACTCCCTTTTGGAGTCTCTGTGGCCTCGCTGGCCCTTGCCCGGCCCCTTTCCTCCTCCTTGGTCTACCCCCGGGCTGACCATCCTCTTCGACAGGCCGCTCGCAGAGCCACCATCGAACAGGTACCTCTGAACTGCCGACGAGGACCACCTTCCTGCTCTCTTGACGAGCTCGATGTCGGCCGTGGCCTGGAACAAAGCGGACGCTCCTCCGATCCGCAGTGAGTGGCTCATGAACCGATCTGGTGGCAACCCAACTCCCGTTGCTGCTTGTTGTAGTAGATGCTGAATCTCAACTCTCCGTAGGACTCGACCCGAGCTCCAACGAAACAGCGGCTTCACGTTCTCCGCGTGGCCCTCCTGAAAGCGGTTGCCCCAGATCTTCCTCATCCGGTCCATGGCTTGTACTGGGCAAAGGTGCTCTTGACCCGTGGCTTGTAGCGTCTTGGTGTCGCCGAAAGCCAGCTGGTCGTTCTTGGTCTTGCGGAAGAAGAGCGACACCTCGGTGGCTTCCCCGACTGCTGCGGCCACTCCTTGCTTCGACAGTCGGACGTCGCAGCCTCTGGTGATCATCTCGTCGTCCACCCCGTTGGACTCTCCAAACTCCTTGGCCCTCAGCATGAAGAACCAAGCCAACTGTAGCGCACCCGTGACCATGACCGCCTCCGCATAGGCAATGGTGTGCTGCTCGTTCTGGATGGGGTCCACCAAGGTCCTTCCCAACCACACCAACATCTCCGGGGTAACTCCCAACCTCCGTGGCTTCCGGGTAGTTGACCGCCGGTCCAGCGCATTGACCAGGATCCAAATTCGATGCATTCCCTCCAGCGGGTCTCCTCTCCCGGTTCGTTTGTGCACCATCTTGATGGCGAACAAGTGCTGGCGGATGGTGTTGGGAGAAGCCCCTAGCCACCCGAGGTACCCTACGTAGGCCAGGACCTTGTTCTCATTCTCGATCACCTCCGCGGCTCTGTGGATGAACTCGTCCGCCCAGCCTTGCCTCCGAGCCCACGCGCACCACTTGCTCCATGCCCCTGCATATGCCCTTTCCGTGGCTGGACTCTTGTCCCCGGCGATGTTCTCCTCTAGCCACTCCTCGACTCGATCTCTCACATCCCCGCAGAATGGAGCAAAGGCTTTGTTGAGATCTTTGACTGTCTGGGCGCCCACAATCTCCGCGATCCTTGAAGGGTCCTTCTCCTTCTTGCGCCGACCACCAGCGTAGGTCTCTTCAGGGACGTAGGTCTGTTCATCCTCGTTCTCATCGAAGCCCGGCCAACATTGGCACCACCACCAAGCTTCTGCCCAGCGCCGCGCCACATGACCAGGTCCTTCATAGCCTCCTGCCTTCACGGACTCCCGGACGTAGGTCGCTGGATTCCTGCCCAACTCTCCCTTCTTCCACCTACGGAGCCACACCAGCAGCTGGGCCAGAGCTTCCGCTCCCACCGGATCGGGTGCCATCCCTGCTCTGCTGGTGGGCGGGATGTCCAGCGCCCGACCAGCCACGACCTCTTGGAGGATTGCCCCCAGGAAGACGAGCAAGTTAGCGGCCGTTTGCCCTCCTGTGCCTTTCGTGCCCTCGATGACCGCTTCCTCGAACGTCAAGCCTGGTGGGACATCCGCCTCACCTCGCCCTTGCAGACGCCATAGCTCTTCTGGTTCAAGTTGGCGTACGTGCCCCCCCCGGTCCTCTTCTGGACACTCCTCCCGGGCTCCTGCATGAGGGGCCACTTGCACGGTCCCCCCCAAGCCGTGAACCACCTCCCGGTCTCCGGACTGTGTCCACCAGAGATGTCCCACCGGTTGGGGTAGCAGTCTGTCCCTTGGGACGCCGCTCTCGAGCTCCAACTTGTAGGGTTTCACCCAGCACGGGTCGTCGTGGTCTTTGGCCTGAAGAACAGTGCCCATTGGTGAGGCTCCCATGCTGCGGACCAAAAGGCCTTCCCAGAACTCTGGCAACTCACCTTTTGCGCTCCACACCAAGCCTCTTCGCCTCCTCGCCATAGCTTCCCCATGCTCCGTGGTCACGTACTCGATGAGGCCATAGTCCCAGCCCTTGCGCTCGCACCACCGCTCACCAAATTCCCAGGGCACCTGTCTCGGTCCTTCCACTAGACCGACCCATGCCTCCTTCTTCTCCGCGTCCTCCAAGGCCCGTCGTAGATGATGCCCTCCTCGATCGACTCTGATGGTGGCGCATGAGATCGTAGGCCGACCCCCTGGTTCCTCCAGCGCTGCTCCAAGGGCTCCACCCAGAGCTTCAAAGTCTCTGACTTTGCGTCCTTGAGCACTCCACTCTGCCACCGCGAAGCTCGCCCAGGGCACCTTCACAGACCTTTGCACCTGTCTGGACACCCTCCTTTCTCTGAGCTGGATCTGCAGCGCCCTGTCGTCCCCGTCCTCCTTGCCCCACAAGAAACACGGCCCGTACCGTTCGCTGTCCTCCAGTGCCTGCTGGATGCCCTCCAAAATGTCAACCTCCCCCAGGTTCTTGGTCTGGATGTACTCCTTGTACTCTTCCTCGCTGCACCTGGTGATGTAGTCCGCATCGACGTTATGGTACGTGCGCCACCAGCCGGCCACCACCACGAAGCCATACTTCATCTCCGCCATGTTGAGGACTCGAATCAAAATGCGCCCTCCCCTTGTGCGGGTCCTCCTGGTTTGCAACCAACTTCGGACGACCGTGTTGTCCCCCGCGTAGAGCACCACGGCTTGCTTCCAGTCCTCCCCCAGCTTGCAAGCGAACGTCACAAAGGACAGCATCTCGCCCATGTGGATAACCATCTCGGGGTCCTGCTCGGTGATCTCCAAGTCGGACATTGCCTTCTTTGCCCAATGTCGCAGTAGTCCCGTAGGTGCCCTCATCACCTTCCTGTTGGTCCAGTCAATGGCTCCGACCATGGTGGGCGTGGCGTCTGAGGACACCCATATGACCTTCTCCCACTCGCCGGGCAGGCTCAAACGCTCCATCACCGGGAGCATCGTCTTCAGGCCAGTGGTGAAGCTTTCCCACCGGTCCGTACGGGCACTCAACCATCGACACGTCTCAAATAGTTCCCACAAATCGGTCCACGCGACCTGCGTCTCCCACTGTGGGCTCCCTTCCCCTCGCAGCTTGGGTTGGATCGGCTTGTGGCCATCAGTCCCCGCCAGGAATTTGTCGGCGGCCTTGAGCTCGTTCTCCAATCCGTGGACTACGGATGCCCAGCCGGTGACAATGCCCCGGTACTGTTGCAACTGCTTCAGCGTGGCGGTCTGGTCCCCGAAGTCGAAGCCTGGCTCTGCCAGAAGCAGCGCTCCCTTCTGAATGCGACGTTCCGGGAGGGCAGCCGTCTCAGACTCCGTGTCCATGATGACCCCCCCAAATGGTTTGGGTGGTCTTGAAGGCGCCCTCGATGCGGTCCTTCTCCTCGTTCACGGCCTTGTCTCCCAACAGCATCCGGATGCCCTTCTCGAAGACCTCCGCGCTCACCCAAGGTCTCAAGCCCACCCAAGGTTCCACCAGAACCCCGTCGTCGACCAGAACCTTCGCGTCGAAGCACCCGGCCATATCTCTTCTAGGGTGTGCTGGTCGATGCGCTCGATGGAACTCCTCCGTGGCCCTTCCCCACACGACCCGCTCTCCCGGGGACCCGCTGAAGCCGAAGCTGGAGACGAGGTAGATCACCGTCAGGTCATTCACATTCTCCACGCCCTCCAACACCTCCCCGGTAATGTGGCGTTGCCATAGCCTCCTCGCGGACCAGGAATTGTTCCACCTCGAACCCTTCAGGCTCCTCCAGCATCGTCATGTGCCCTTTCCAAATCAAGGCAAACGCCGTCCATCCCCCGGGCTCCCAGTTGGGCCCACTAATGCTTCCCACCACCAAACCTCCCCGGTAGTCCGCCCGCAGCACCACCAAGCGACA